AGCAGCTCTGTCTTCCAGTGTCATGCTCAGGTGTAAACACAGTGTCACAGTGAAAGATCACATGGGGACTGGGATAGACGCACACCTGCTGTCAAGGAAACAACTGTCTTCAATTCCTGGCAACGAGATCCTTCCGGGGCTGCCCTCAAAGAAACTAAGGGATTAACCAGGCTGCTCCCACTGGGAGTGAGTGTGTGTGTGTGTGTGTGCCCTCTAGAGGGCTGATCAGTACATTAAAGCCCTCCAGAGACTTGCCCACAGCACACAGGCAGAGCCCCTCATCAGCACCTCTCTGCTGTAGGGGACACAGTCCCACAAGCCGTGTACTTCACCTCTTCTTGCTGCCTCGTAAGCACTCAGCACTCACAAAGGAGTCTGTCGCCAGACACCCTCACACTGTAACTTGCTGGCAGCCTGGACTTGGTGAATTGTGACCTATAAGCAAATGGTAACACTTCCCTTTGGTGATCTAAATCCTGTTATCATAGGATTGAGGCTTGTATACTTCCAGATCATTCTGAGGACAAATTCAGAATGCTGCAGCACACCTGGAGTTCAGAGTTCTGAAAGGCACATCCCTTGCACAGCCTTAGGTGTCCTCGCACTGTTTCGTGGACCCCAGCCCCTGTCCCAGACAGAAAACAAACTTGCAGTAGGAAGGTCTGGGAACTGTAGACCTCGAATGCCCTACCCCTTCCCTAGGAGGTGTCTCACAGAGAGTAATGATCACACGGCTGCCACAGAGCAAACACTAGCTCCCAGCCTTCCTGGCTTCCTGAAAAAACAGTGGAGGCCATGGAGACATTCCACAGAATGTCCTGCCACAGAAGCAACCATGGTTGTGAAAGAACAAAATCATATCACATGTAGCTCTTCATAACTTTACAGTTAAACTGGTACATGAGTCCCAGAGCTGCAAGCCTATTGTCTTACTATGCAAGAGCTTCATGAAAAGATTTCCTGAGATCTTAATCCCTGGCACAGCCCAGCACTCAGACACACATCCGAGAGAGCTATGACAAGAAGGGGCTCAATGAAGAGTGCCTCTGTGCTTCCCCAAAGCAAAAAAGGTATGAATTTGATGGTTTGTAAAGTATCTACTTTTTCTTGTGTTACATTAATCAATGTTTAAAAGATCATTCCAGTTCTTACTTGAGCTATGCAAGATATCTTACTTACCTAAGCCTCTCCAAGACCCCATGCCCCTGAGACAAACCCTGCCCACTTTAATAATGATGCCTTTCATGGGGACAACTCTACCACTTCCTCCTACACCTTGTGTAGACTTCTAGCGATTCATCATATTTTCTGATTGATGTATTTCTCTCCTTAAAAGGCTGCAAGCAGCTTAAGGGTAGGGTCCAGTTATTAAGTTTTGCATTCTTAAGAGAAAAGGTAAAATTCTGGCACACAGTAGGCATTTAGCTAACGCCTGGTAAATAAATGAACAATACTTACATATATGAGTTAGAGGGGCACTTGGAGATGGGAAGAGACAGGAGGATAGGGAGAGGAAGGGGAAGTAAAAATGATTGACTAGTGATATTTATATGTACCAATTCCCCAAGATGAAAGTAATTATTATGTATCACAAACATACATCAATAAAAAAGAAAAAAATGAGTTAGAATATGTGGTCTTTGTCTTTCAGTATCTGGTTTATTTCACTTAACATAATGTTGCATACACGTTGTCACAAATGAAAGAATTTCATTATTTTTTTTTTGCCTGAATGTTCCATTGTACAGATATATTACATTTTTTTAGCCATTCAATTGTCAATGGACACCTGAATGGATTCCATAGCTTAACTACTATGAATAATGTTACAATAATCACAAGAGTGTAGGTGCTATGGCTTATGTTTAGACGTCTACCCAAGGCCTCATGCAGTCATAGTTGGGGATTTTTCAGAGGTGGCTGTATCTAGAGTGTGTGATGCTGGAATTGACTCATTGTGCAATGCTAGGCTCAAGGGCACTAGGTTTAAGAATGTGAGTGCTACTGTTGTGCCCAGATCGCAAAGTCCCCAAAGACCACCAAGGAGCCGTTTCCGATGTAAACACACGAGGGTCGTTTATTCAAGCTCGAGCAGAGGCACTCAACCGTCACGGACGACGCAACGGATCAGGATTGAGAGCCACGAATTCCAAATCAGCAGGGTTTTTATTGTGGCTACCGCAAGGTTTGGGGATGTTCCATTTAGCAGTTACATGATTGGTTGATATTTAGCAAGCATAGGGGGTTGAGGGGTGGCTACATGTAGAATTTAGGGGAAAAAGGAACAATCAGCACATTGACAGAGTGTTCTATAGATAATGGGCCCGGGAGCATCTGTTTTCTGGGCAGACAGAGGATTGAGTTAGGAGCTGTGTCTCTTTTTTTATCTGTTGTCCCACAGCAAGGACATTTTATCATTAGTTTATGGGCACAAAGGAGACTAGGGGAATAACTGACTTCAGTGAAGTGGAATTTATGTCAAGGCCACTTTACTGTCTTATATTTAAGATGGAGTCAAACTTTAAAATGGAGTTAGTTAGGTCTCACACTACCTGTCCTAAGTAGCTGGGATAAGATATAAGGAATAGAAAGAGCTGTGGGCATCCTTTGTTGGTTCACTACCTTCTGCCTGCCATGAACTGTTTCTCCTCTTTGATGCCACCCTGCCTTGGAGCCAGCTGATTATGGACTGAAACCTCTACCAACTGAGCTAAATAAACCCTTCCTCCTTTAACTTTGGTTGTCAGGTATTTTGTCTCAGCAACAAGAAAAGTAACTAAGACAGAAGGTATCTTGTTAGTATATTGATTTCATTTCCTTTAGATATATATCAAGCAGTAGAATAGCTAGATCATGTGGTATTTCTAGATTTCTGATGCACTTTCTTTCTTTTTTTTGTGCCGAGGATGAAACTCAGGACCTTGCACTTGCGAGGCAGGCACCAGAACCACTGAGCTAAATCCCTGGCCCTCTGAGGCACTTTCATACTGTTTTCTATAATGACCATACTAATTTACATTCCTAACAGTAGTGTCTGATGGTTTCCCCTTTTTATCAGCCTTTCTTTGTTTGAGTCTTGTGCAGGGGTAGGGGAAAAGTACTGGGGATTGAACTCAGGGCTTTCATGCTGAGCAACATCCCACCTCTTTTTAATTTTTTATTTCTAAGAGAGAAACTCTCAGCCTGGGTCTGAATTTGAGATTCTCCTGGCTCAGCCTCCCAGAGTATTGGAATTACAGGTATGTGCCACCATGCCTGGTTTATTTTTAGTTTTTTTAGTTGTAGCTATTCTAATTCAGGTGAGATGACATCTCATTGTGGTTTTGATTTGCATTTCCCTGATGATTAGTAATGTTCAGCATTTTTCATAAGGGTAGGAGGGAAGAGATGATAGAGGGAGGTTAAATAACATGTACCTAAATATAGTTAGGAGGAGCTCTGGTGTATCGCACAATAGGGTAACTAGTTTATAACAATTTACAATATATTTTTTAAAGAACTAGAAGAGAGAAATTGGAAGATTACCAATACAAATAATTGATAAATGTTTAAGAAAATGGAAATGATAATTACCCTGATTTGATCATTATACATTGTAAACATGTGCTGAATTACCAAACTATACCCCATAGATATATAATTAAAAATTAAAAATAGGAGGATCTGAGAGGATGGCTCAGGGGTAAAACACACACTTAGCATGTCTAATGTCCTCAGTTCAATCTCCAAAACCAAAAAAATTAAAATAAAATAAAAAGGAAAAGGAAAAGTAAATGGATGATAAATGAATTCTAATAGCACATTCATAGATTGTGTGGTTCATGTCACATGCCCACAACATGTTGGTTAAACTCTAGAAACCTGTGCACAAGACCATAGAACTCATGTCCAACTCTTTCCTGTGCTATCTTTTTTAAACAGAATGTATTTTTTTCTTATGATTTCTAGAAACCCAACTTTTCTTATCAAGACTTTTCTAAGTAAAGGGATGAAAAGAAAACCTGCCCTATCTGAACATACATTTTCCTGAGACTCACACTTGATTAACAAATATATTTGCACTGACTTTCTAAATTATATGTATATATATTTGTTGGATAGAAATTCTTTTGCCTGTTAATATACAGAAATTTCTCCTCTCAGCAGTTCTTCTAGCCAAAAGAAGCCAGGCACACTGAAAGAGGAGAATGATACATAGCAAATCTTGCTTTCCAACTCTTAAGCATCACTAAGCAGAATAGATAACAAGACCATCTTCCACTACAAGGCTCATGATTTCTTGTTTTCTTTTTTCCCCTATAGAGCCTGTAGCTGAATCTTCTCACTAGGGAAAGCATAAAAGCAAACAAGCAAACTAGCTCCAGCAAGTAGCTAGTCCGTGGTTAACACAGACAATGATGAGTTGAGTACATCTCTCATTTTGGTCTTTATCTTTGCCTAACTAACATAGAGTGTGATAAGTAGAAACACATAAAACCTGCTGAGTGTGGTGGAGCACACCTGCAATTCCAGCACTCTGGGGGGATAAGGAAGGAGGACTGAAAGTTTAAGCCCAGCCTGGGCAGCTTAGCAATGTTACTTAGTGTGAAGGCCCTGTGTTCAATTCCCAGTAACTGTAAATATAAACAACTAACTAAATATCAAAATTAAAAGTATATACTCTGAGAAGTCAAGAACCATTTTTATTAACCAACTCTGTACAAAACCATATATATTCTATCATATTTTTAAGTTTATATTTATAAAATATATTGCAAAAATAAATGATTCTTGCCAGGCACAGTGGTGCACCCAGCACTTGGAAAGCTGAGACGGGAGGATCATTATAAGTTTGAGCCAACCTGGGCTACATAGTGAGTTCAAGGCCAGCCTGAACTACATATCCAGACTTTGTCTCAAAAAAATCAACCAATAAAATGATTTAATGCTAAATGACAAAACATTCCCATGTGCTGTGGATTAACTAAGTATAGAAAATAAAACAAACTTGTGGATTAAAGTGCCAAGGATTAAAGTATATTATTTTATTTACTCTGTCAATGTTTATCAAACATCTGCTTCATTTTCCAGCTACCATTCTAGGCACTGAGAACTCAGAAGCAAGCAAAACAATCCTGCCCTTGTGGAGTTTACATTCTATAAAGTTAAACTGTGAGCAAATAATAGAAATTTGTGAGGTGACAATACAGAACATTCCGAACATCAAGATAGATAGGGAACAAACAAAGTAGGCCAAAGGAGTTGAGGAGCCAGAGGCAGGCACAGTTGTTGTGTGCTGGATAGGCCATGTGATCAGGCCTCTTTAATGACCTGACATTTGAGCAGAGCGAGCCAGGAAGGCCCAAGGGGAAACATCCCTGGAGAACAGGCCTGAAGCCAAGGCCCTGGGCCAAGAGTGGGCATGGAGTGAGGAACAGCAGAGGCCAGCCTGTGCCCTGAGGGAGGAGGAAAGAGAGGACGGAGACCAAGCAGAGTCCTTCAGAGCAGGATAGGTAAATCTTGTCTCTTTTCCAACGGATAAGAAAGAGAGGGTGGAGCTGCCCAGGAAGAGCAGGCTTGCTCCCATCTGGACTGAAGGAAAGGGAGGGAAAGGAATACTTAACAGGAGTCCCTGCCCTGGGAGAAGAGGGGTCGGGAAAGACTGAACTCTGCTTCATTGCGGCTCTGGGCGCTTCTATCCAGAAAACCATCAGCAGAGGCTGATGTGCAGATTTCTTGCAGTGTGAATGCAGCAGCCTCTTGTTTTCTCATCAGGTGCAGTAGGGACGATAGTATAAATTCAGCTTGATCGCAGTGCTAATAATAGCACCAATGTGAAGAGTGTCCGCTAGGGTTATATTAAATCCCTGCCTGTGGTGAGCAGACTTGAAAGGAGAGGCTCAGACACCTAACCAGAACCAGAACCAACAACGACCCAGTTCAGCCAGATAAGCGCACCAGCAGGAAGCAGCTGTTATTTTCGGCAGGTCCCACTGAGAGCATCATTCTCCACATCCAGGTACTGGGATGGTTTTCCAGCAGAATTTGCACACAGTTCCATGAAGTACTTTGTTTAAATCTTCTACAACTTCAATCTCTCCCTCCCTCCCTCCCTCCCTCCCTCTCTCTCTCTCTCTCTGTCTCACTCTCCACCGGCTTCCCTCCCTCCCTACACATCTTTCCCCCATCATTCATTGCTTCCCCTTCTCCTTTTCTTTTTCTTTTTCTTTTTTTTGTTTTTTCCCATTAACTTTATTGGTACATTTTGGGTATAAAATACAGTTACATTCATCATTGGGATCTTGTACCATTACATGAGCATCTTGGTTCTTATTTTTTCCCCCTTCCCTTGCCCTCCCTTCACCCCCTCCACCCTTCCCTATTTGCAAAGGCCTTCTTTCCATTTTTTTCCTCTTCTCATA